TCCCTGTTACCCAGGGAACCAGCCCTTGCCTTCCCCCTCGGCCCCCAGCGTGGCCTCCTACCTTCCACCTGAGCTATACTTGACCCGGTACCTAATTCCTCCAAGACACAGATATGTTGCCTGCCACTTACATTATCAACAGTCCCCACTTCCTCCTGACTGGGACAGACACCACGAATCCTGGGCTCCTGATGTTTTGCCAGGGAAACTTGTGTCCAGCCTATCTTGTCATCCCAAGACGCAGTCCAGGTCCGTGTGCTGGGTTCCTGCCTGTAGCTGGGACTCTCAGGCTAGGCCAGCCCTGCTGCTGCCCAGGCCGCCCCACGCAAGGCCCTTCGCACACATGCTGCTCCTGTTGGAGGATGGCTGCCCTGCTCTGCACATCTTTGCACACCCAGCATTTAGGCATCTGACACCTTGAAAGTATTTTATTTTTAGAATGAATGTAAAATATTGGACTCCTACCTTTGTTTTGTAAAGTTAGGGGAAAGAGTTAAACAACTAATAAGTCTGTAGGTTTGAAGGACTACAAATGGTCCAGAGGATCTGGATTCAGAGAAATTATTTCACTAGTTGGGGCCTACTGTTTAAAATAGACCTTAAACTGCAGATTCTTGCCAATCTGTGCACAGTTTCTGAGGTCTGTGAGCAGCCTGCCTGATCCCCTTTGCTATGTGTTGGCATTTTTCTGAGCAGCAGATGCATAGCTACTCTTAGACTCGCAAAGGGGCCTGTAACCGGGAAGAGGCTAAGAACCATTGTTTCACACTGTTTAGGCATGGTATGGAGGCTCCCCAGAATTTAAAAATATAAATACCATATGACCTTCTAACTCCATTTTTTGGAATTGACCTGAAGAAAATAAAATCAAATATATATATATATATATATATATATATATATACTCCTATGTTTATCACAGCATTATTTATAGGAGCCAAGATATGGAAGCAACCTAAGTGTCCATCAATAGATGAGTAGATAAAGAAGATGTGATACATATCTATAGTAAAATATTAGCCATAAAAAAAAAAGAAATCCTGCCATTTGCAATAACATGGATGGAGCTGGAGGGTATTATGCTAACTGAAGTAAGTCAGACAGAGAAAGACAAATACCATATGATTTCACTTATATGTGGAATCTTAAAAAATAAATCAAACAAACAGAATGGAAATAGACTCATAAGTACAGAGAACAAACTGGTGGTTGTGATAGGGATGAGGGTGGAGGGGATGGGTGAAATAGGGGAAGGAGGTAAAGAGCTACACACTTCCAATTATAAAATAAGGAATATAGTCAATAATATTGAAATAATTTTACATGGTGACAAATGGTAACTATATTTATTGTCATGAGCATTTCATAATGTTTAAAATTGTCAAATTGCTAGGTTGCACTTCTGAAACTAATAAAATATTGTATAGCAACTCTACTTCAATAAACTAAAAATAATTTTAAAAATAGAAATTTAAAAATAGTTTAGGCAGCAAAAGAACTTTCTATGAAGTTTTATTCAGTTTGAGGTGCTCAGTCAATCACCTTATACTGGGAAGGATGAGTGGGTCTCACTGCAGAGTTTGGAGAATTTGATACAGTTATCCTACAAGTATGAATCTTTGAAAGAGAGGTCCCTTCCAGCTGCTGCAGCCCCCCCACCCCAACCTCTAGTCCCAGTGTCGCATCACCTTTTCTGGGCACATCCAGATAGTCCGAGATCATCTTCGCATCTCAAAAGCCTTAACTTCATCACATCTGCAGAGACCCTTTGCCATGGAAGGTACCATCTCTGCAGGTTCTGGGGGTGAGCATGTGGATGAGTTGGGAGGCTGTTATTTATTTACCAAAATTGCCATGTCAACTTTCATAACCTACAGATATCTTCATTTGAATAATGGGGGCAAGCTTATAGAGCTCACTTAACTTCTGAAATTCTGTTCCTTTTCCCACTGTAGGTTTACTGTCATTATCCACGAGTTCCCCTCACTAAAAACCTAGGGGTTGCTCTTGCTCTCTGCTCCTGGACTTGCCCCATCTAATCCATCTCCAGAGCCTACCTCAGAAATGCCACCCGCTCCAGGCAGTCCTCCATCCCTGCTCCCACTCCTGGGCTACGGTCCTCCTCACACTCCTCCCTGGGCCCTGACCTGCTCAGTCTCTGCCTCCTGCCTCTCTCTCACCGTCAGCTCAACCTCCTCCCCACCACCCAAGTCATCATTCTCAAGAACAGCTTTGGTCACCTCCTCCGCTTTCTGAGAAACCTCTGCTGACTTCCCACAGCCTGCGAAGCCCTTCTTGATCTCACCTCAAGTCAGCAGCCTTCCAGCTGGTCTCTGACCCCCTTCCCACAGCCATACTTCCCACCTGCGATGGTGAAGGCTTGAACTGGATACGCCTCTCAGGAGCTCTCGTGATTCACCCGACACCCGCTGCTTGCCTCTGAGACTTCACTCTTCCTGCCCCAACTCCCTGGATCATCCCTCTCTTATCCTTTGCCTGCAAAATTCATACTTATTTTATTTTAATCATTTAATCAGAAATCTAGAGACAGGTAGGTATTATAACTCTTATAATAGATGTCCAAACAGGCCAGGGCATTAATTAACTGGCCCCAGATCTAGCATCTAGTAAATGTCAGGGCTGAAATTAGATACCAGGCTGTTGTCTAGTCCATTTCCAAGAGTCCAGTGGGCTGCTATGTGATTGGATGCTGATGATTTGATTATTTGTTCTCTTGAATTCCTTCAGATTTCCCTTGGTTCCTAAAGAAACAAAACTGAGATTCTACAGGGCCGCTACCACCCCAGATGCCCCTCCCGCCCCAGATTACCCTCCAGCCTGCTTGCCTATTAACAGCCAGAGTTGAGAGGCTTATAAAAAATGCAATCTGACCAAGCCACTCCATTGTCCCGCCCACATCCCAGCCTAAATGCCCCTAATGGCTGACCTCCCATTGCTCTTGCAACGATCATAAATCTCCCCAAGGTGGTCCATGAGCTTACCTGCTGGTGTCTCCTGCCTGCCTGTCGAGTCCCATTTCATACCCCCATCCCTTACTTCTCCACTCTGGCCATGCTGGCCTCCTCTCCACGTCCTGGACCCCCTGTGCCCCCTCCTGTTGCACGGCTTTACACAAGCTCTTCCTTCTGCCTGAATGTTCTTCCCCATCTACTGGCAGTTCTGGTGATCTGGTCAAAAGGCCGACCTTTTCCTACAAACCTTGTTGCCTCTTTAAACACTCTACATATAATCTGACAAAAGAAACCTAAATATTAAAACATATCAAGAGTATCTGATTTGGCAATGCTGTTCTAAAAATGAAGGAAATCGTTCTTATTATCTGGAAACTCCAAGACTGACCTCTGGCATTTCGTGATGGGGCATGTTTGAACAGCACACCCTCAGTACGGCCATTCCATTTTCTGTGCTGCTTATACTCGGACTGTATCCCCTGTAACACTGAACACTTAGTGCAGTTTCTAAATGTACTTGGTATTGGTTGATTCATTGGCTGGTAAATACCACTTATTCATTACATTTCTTTTTTTGAAAAACTTTGGCAATTTCTTGAACAACTCAACACACATCTACCATACGACCTGGCAATTGCACTCCTAGGCATTTATCCCAGAGAAATAAAGACTCGTGTTCATATAATGTGCATGAATGTTGATCAAACGTTTACTTATAATCACTAGAAACTACCCAGATGTCCTTAGGCAGGTGAATGGCTAGACAAACTATGGTACATCCATACTGTGGGATGCTATAACAAGGAATAAACACAGAAATGCACACAGTGACAGGAATGAATTTCCAGAAAACTATGCTGAGTGCAAAAGCCCTTCCCAGAAGGTTATAAAATGTATGATTCCTTTTATAAAAAACTCAGAAAAGGACAAAATGACAGAAGTGGGAAACAGGTTAGTCCTTGCCTGGAGTTAAGAAGAGCGTTGGAATGGGAGGCAGTGGCTGTGGCTATAAAAAGGCCCCAAGGAGGGATCCCTGTGATAGAAATGCTCTGCACCCCCTCCGCGGCACCAGTGTCAGTCTCCGGCTTGTGATAATGTGCTAAACATTTTCAAGATGTCACCATTGGGGAAAATTGGGGAAAACGTTGATGGGATCCATCTATTATTTCCTACAGACACAAGTCACTGCACAATTATCTCAATTAAGATTTTAAAAGAGCATGTTTAATAAAGTGTATATATCATACCAAGATTTTCAGAAGCCTCTAGTAACTTCCATGTCACAGCATTTCTTCTTTCCTCTCGCTTCTCGTGGTTTGTTCGTTAGTTATTATTACTAATGATTTTTCCTTCTATTTAAAACATATAGAACATTGATCTCATTCAGGCTATTTTCACAGCTGAGGCTTATTACATTAGTGTCTCTATTCTTCATAGCCCCACTGTCTTTCCTACATTACTCTGATTTTTTTGTGCCCTGATCAAGAAACCTCATATAAAACCATTGGTCTGTGCTTTAATCACTGCCAGCACCTCTAACAACAAAGTTCGATAATGCCTTTCTCATCTTCACAGGTAAGAGAAAAGTTGTAAAAAGTAGCACTTCCATCATCTGCTGCTTTAAATCTCCTTGTCTCGTCCTCAGGGTTCTGTGAGCTCAGGGGTAGGATGGCACTTCAACAGATTGTCATTGTTTGGAAACCTTAGACTGGCTGTTGTTCAAATTCTTCCTCGGTCCTTTTCATCTCTTCCCTTTCCTGCCAAAGTCTCACATTCTTCTGGTATCACCCTTCCCAGATTGCCACTCCATTTTCTATTATCTTTGCCTAATGTGCTGTTAGTTAGGTTTTGACTAGTTTTTATTCCCGTCACTGGAGTGACTGTAAGTGTCTATATCGTGATACCAATCCTTGTTCAGAATGCCTGTGACGGTTTCTGGAGCTTAGAGTGGGAACCGAGGAGGGTCCGTACTGCATTTCATTCATTGCCATATCTTAATGTTGGATTTCTTTTTGTTTTCTCTTTCAGTGACTAGAGAAGACACCCAGGAACATATCACCAAACAGGTATTTCCTCACTTCTCATGAACTGTAACACAGAATTTTGCTTTAAAGGTTAATAATTAAGCTTCTGTAAATATAAGAAAGCAGAGCATTTGCTGGTTATTGGATGTGAGCGACGACATGTTGGTTCTGAGAACACGTAAATTGATCCTATGGGGATGAACATGTACGTCCCTTGTCTCCTGCACCACATCTGTTCTTCCACACTCAAGGATGGGGAACAGAGGTGGGGCTCTGCCAGGTCTGACCTGTCAGCAGCCCCTTGAGCATAGCATGGGCTTGGCATTGATGCTGTCGTGGCTGCAAACAGGTAACTTATCTACTTCTCCCTTAACTGAGGTGACTCTCCTCTGAGATTTTCCCAAGTTTTAATTTGCCCCAGCTGGAAGTCAGTCCTGCCCACATAGTTAAGAAGAGAACCCCTAGCAGTGGAAATGTAAAAGTTGACTTTCAATTCTGGTCTTTGATTTCTATGCACGCTTAGCCAAAGACTTCCTGTCTTCTTCACTACATTTTTATCAAATATTTCTGCTGACTCACTTTTTATGTTTACTGGCAGATGGAGTCACTTGTTATAATTATTTGAGTGGCTCGAGACAGACAGCCACACATACAAACCAGGAAGACCTTCACCAACCCCGGTTTGCCCCACCGCACCTCCTCTTTCCTTAGACAATTCAAGTGGCAGATTCTCCGAATGCTGCCCCTGTAATTAGACTCAGCAAAGGCAGACACTGGCCTGTGGCCGAATATGCTCAGGCTTCACTCACAGTCACAAATCTCCAGGTCTTCTTTTTCATTGTTCTCCTCCAACGTGAATTATAACTCACCCTTGCCGAGAAGAGGGGGAATCTACCTTTATACCAGTCAAGAGTACATTTTTCAAAGTCTTCTCCTAATGCACTCCAAAATAAGTTCCAAATTTAATCCCCATTGTCATTCCACCCAAATTAGGTTCTACCTTTACCTAATCTGTACCAGATGCCCTGTAACTCATCACACTTTAGAAATAGTTAACTCATTTGGCGAGTATACCAATACTGCAAATTCAGCAGGCAAAATTTAATGCTGAACCAGGTGCCATTTTACTTTGAATATAATTGTAAATGTTGACCTGTAGCAGCAGCCATCTTATTCCTTGAAAATGCTGTCATTGTGCAATGGCAAAATCAGTGAGCTGTTTCAAAGAGTTCGTTCACCTTTTGAGCTTAATTTATCACTGTATTTTCTATAATTTGTATGTACTCAGGTGCTTTGGTAAGGCTGAGCAATGGTTAACCAGTAAAGTGTATTACTAGTATTTTTATTTATTTAAGTTACCTAGGGAATACTTTTCCTTATAAAGCAACCTTTTTTCTTTATTAAATTAAAGTAGTCGGTCAAGAAACATATTAAGACCACTTCTTATGGGCAGATTTTCATTTCCTGAATTTTCCTTCTTTTTACATCTGGCTAAACTAATAGGATTTGTAGACACCAAAATAGAACACCTAATACTTAGAATCTTACACATTGATTTATTGCCAGATAAAATCATAATGGTTTCCAGTCCCCATATGAGAGTGAAATTCCTTGGACTTTAAATAAGAGAAAAGGGTCTTTAGTTTACTAATTACACACTAATTCTCAGAACAGATAGCTGTGTTGTTCAGTCAGTGTCTGCCAGCTGGTATTTCTAATTTCACAATAAAATTTCTATTCTTTCTTCTCCCAAGGAGGGAATTACTCAGAAGGCACAGGCAATACAATTCCAGGAGGCATCTTACACCTCTAATTTATCTGAATTTTAGCAAACATCCAAGAAATGAAGTCATGCCCCTTCTTTAAATCACTGTGACCCCTAAAGAATTTGGCTTATGAAAAACGTTTTTGAAAACTCACTTTGAGTAATCAATACAGTGCTCTTTATCAGAAAGGAATGTAATATGGAGTATCACTGAGTGTTCATCTTGCCCCTAAATCCTTCCCCCTGGGCACTACAGATTGAGTAATTAAACTGAAATTGGAAATTGAGTCCTTTTTTATTTTCCTCATTAGGCAAGGTCTGAGTTGCACACACACCCGTGTTCTCAGGACTGTAGTGAAGGAAAAACTCTTGCCTACTGGCCAATAGCCAGCGTGCATTTTTAGCCCACAGCCATTGTACCACACCTGAACTCTGAGAACAAACAGCTATTTGAGTTCTCTGGAGGGAACACTGAATTTTTTCCTGTATAATTCACTGGGGAAATTAGTAGGTTTTTTTAAAGTAACTTGTTAACGCAGCTTGTTTACGAGAAGAGGACAAAAATGAACAGTGAACTGCCTGGCAGCTCATGTCCCAGAACGGGATGAATGCCTGACCCATTTCTTCAGCTGTCTCTTTGGCAGTTCAATGCTGCAACAGTTTCCTCTCTGAAAAAATGTTCCTTGTGGGGTTGAAATCTCCTGTCAGTTCTCTGAATGATTTTTACACTGGTAGATTGAAGAAAATGCCTTAAAATACTACCAAAGGTACCTTCAAAAGCAAATTAGAATATGGTCAGTAGGAGCATGGGAATATCAAATGTCAACATCTTGTAACTTAACTTTTGAAAACTGTCTTATTATATAGTAGACAGTTGAAACCTATTGTAAATCAATGCCTTCTGTTTATGCCTTTTTGTACAATAGAGAATTAAAGCTCATAGTGAATTAATACTTTGTTTTTATACAGCCAGGTGACAAAGAGAGAACTGAATATAGGCCTCCGTTCTTGTTGAGAGGCTATGCATGTCGTGGGACACTCACACTCAGGCACTGCCCGGCTCGAGGGCTCGCCCTCACTGGCTGCCCCGTTCAGAGAGAGCCCACGCCATACGTTTTGCCATAAAGCTAAGTGTGCATGCTATCACAAACGGGTGTTTTCAAACCGCAGAAGTATGTCATGTCAGTTCTGGAGGCTAGAAGTCCAGGATGCAGTCAGCAGGACCACACGCTCCCAGGAACCTGGTGCCTCGTCCTGGCTTGGGTGGCAGCCAGCAGGCCTCAGAGTCCCTGGCTCGGAGCCACGTCACCTCAGTCTCTGCGTCTCTCGTCACACAGCTGTCCTCCCTGTGTGTCTCCTCTCTTCTTACAAGGACCCCAGCCCTATCACTGTAGTCCAGCCTTAATGACCTCATCTTAATTACATCTATAAATGCCCTATATCCAAAAAATGTCACATTCACAAGTCAGGAGTTAGGACTTCAACATATTTGTTTAGGGGATGCAGTTCAACCCTTAATAAGGTAAAAGCCTGACAAAAATCGAGGAGACATCCTCAACCCCTTCTTCCCCTGAGCACCCAGCATGCCCTACATGATCTTCCCCTTCCAGGTCACCCCTTCTCCAGCCCACAGCCCTGCTTCCTCCTGGACCCCACCTGGCTTGCCTGTGGCTTCAAAGACTCTCCTGCCTTCCCTCTACTCCCCTCGGCTTCACTACCTTCCTGCTCATCTTCCATTCCACTTAACTCTCTCAAATGCCAGTCATCTTGCATCCCTCCTCTGCTGAAAAACAAAAATTAAACAGGAACAACACTCCCTCCATATTTAGCAGGGGTTGTTACCCCTGCCTGTTCATTATCATCAATCCTGGAGCTTCCTTAGTGCAGATTCTGAGGCCCCACCCCGCCAACCCCAAGAAGTTCTGGGGCGGCAGCCCTCCTCCTGAAGGTCCACTGGACCCCTAGCGGCAGGATGGCCTTCACAGAGAGTGGGGTTCCTTGAGTCTCGAGGCCCAGAGCAGTCACTTGGGAAAGACCACAGACTGTGGGTGGACAGACCACAGACTGTGGGTGGAAACGAGGGCCAAGGTTGGCTATTGCTTACTTTAAACCTTTTAAATACTTAAGACAAACAGTATGTGGGCCTCTATTCAGACTCTTGTTCTAGGGAAGCCCCAGAAATCTTAGGGATGACCCTGCTCACACAACTTTAAAATTTTTAAATGCGATTCCAATGGAGAGCCAAGATTGAACCCACTCATCTATCATCTACCGGATAAAGTCCTAACCTTTCAATATGAAATCTAAGCCCTATAATCTCATAATCCTTTGGAAAGCATGCTCCCTGCCTCCATAGGTTTTCCCACCCAGCTCCTTTGTGTAAAACTGTTGTGTCCTACATAAAACTCTGCCACCACCAACATACCAACCCCTTTCTCTGCACATACAAAACTAACTCATATTCCAAGACCTAATTCAAATACTGCCTCATCCATGAAGCATTCTTTTACCATGTGGCTGAGAATAATCTCTCCCTCTTCTTTGTTCCTGTATTATTTTTCTGCCCCTTGGCTATGGATCCTAGCATTTTCCACTCTATAGTCTAATTATTTATCCCTAGATGATGTTGTATCTAAATAGTCTCATCCTCGTGGTACAAAATCATGTTCGGTTCATTTCTGTGTCTGTATTACACCTTGCACATCACAAGCACCCAACCAATTGCTGGTCGAATGTAAATTCTTCTGTTCAGTCATTTATTTTCCTAGCAACCAGAGGGACCACTAAGTGTGGTTAGTCTACTTCCTGTGCAGTGGACTATTCGAACCTATTGTGTCATTGATAAGGCAGAAACCAGGTGTTTTCCTTTGCACTCCCAGGTGAGGAATCTAAACCAAAGACAGAAGGGCCAAGCAAAGATGGCACGTGGCCCTATGAATAATGGTCACAGTCAGGGAGAATGAAAGAATCAAAGGGCAGGGAGACCCAGACCTTGATTTCACCTTCATGTTTACATTCCATAATCACTGTAGGGGATTAAATGGTTTCCATGGGTCAACACTTGGGCAACTGATGTTTTTTTCTTCAAATGTAAGTATGACAGGGCCATTCACCAATGCCTTTTCAGTGTAGGCATGAACTTTACAACTTCTAAATTTAAAGTGGGATTGCATTACCCCGTACTATTCTTATCAAAATGGCCCTGCCCTCAAGGAGACAATGTTGACTAGAGAGTTTCTCTTTGCAAGTCAGCACTAAAGGTCTCCTAATTCTTCAT